TATCCAAGAATTTGTTTGTTTTGGGGCGATGGATTCGTGCCTTGGAGAGGTGGTATCAGACCATGCTTGAGGAGAATAAGTCTATCGAGACCTGGAAGCCTCCCTTCGGCGAAGTACTGAAGTTAGTATGTCCTGGAGTCAATACAGGAATTGTTTTCAAGACGATGCAGTGTAATTCATGATAGTAATCTAATGCATCATGGAATTAGTTGCGTTTGAAACAAGAAGGGGGCACGTTTGCATGACTCATTACCATCATGACGTGAAAAGATGGAACCCCACTGCTCTTATTCTAGAACATGCTCTCCCCTGAGGACAGCTTACACCCAGATCTCCGTGCATAAAAAAAGAGCACAAATAGATCGCTAGACTGATTGCAATTCATCCTCTGGAGAAGGATAGAATTCCATCTGCCACTGTCTCTCAACCGAAGTCGATGACATAGCAGCTACGTCTCTTCATGCGTGTGCTTTACAAAATTTGCTATCAATGTGAGGATTTTTGGATTGGTAGAAATCGGATTCGAAATCAGATTCCGTATAGTAATGGACAGCAATTTCTGCATTGAACACGCTGCACAGTGCTTATCGGCAAGGATGTTGAATTTTGCGTGTAAACCTTCACCACCCTGCTCTCCATACAAGTCCAGACCAATACTACAAATGTAATTGAATACTGAAATGTTTCATTTCTGGTGGAATGTGCTTCTAAAATAGCTGTTGGGCTTCGTCATGAAAGAAGCAATGGATGATTGTCAAGTCAACCAGTGGGCTTGCAGTAAGAGGCAAAGCACCACACTACATCATCACGTGTCATAGCACGGCCGAGTGGGCTGCATGCCTACAACGCTTCCATGTTGGTGTTGTTGGTGTAAAAATGGAGGAGATCTTACTGTGTCTACGCACATGGACCTGCTATTGGTGTTATTCTATCAATGCTTGTTTCAAGTCACAGAGTTATCTAGCTTTTTACAGCAGTTCTCTGTTTTAATTAAAACGAATTAATGGACACCTGTCAATTCAGCAGGTGAACTGCATTGCCATCAAGCCTTGAGCCAGCTCCATAGGAATGGTACGGTCATGAAGATGCGTGATGCCCCATGTCCTATTTGCATCAGAATAGTTATCTGGTTGTTTCGGCTTAACACTCCGGTAGGTAGAGATATTCGGTATACTGCAGCTTGTACAGTAGTCCTCACTAAAGAAGAATAGAAGTTTAGGAGGGACTCGAGTTAGGAGTTTACGAAGATAGCCTTTTACTAGTGTCCTAGGGTTTATCGGGTGTTAGCGGCCGTCGTAAGTTCCCTTCGGGAACGGTTAACGGACACGGTAATTTACTTTTTTTTTAAAATAATTATAATCATTTGCACATTCATTATCATCATCCTAATCTGCGTTGCCAAAAAAAAGTAATAGTAAAATAAAAAAGTAATAATAATAATTATGGATTCAAACAAGTTTTCGTGCAACACTCATCAGGAATCGTCGTTGTACTAAAGGACACTGAAACAAGAATTGAACTATTATAGAAAATCTAAGTTAGAGAAATAACACTAAGAGCAACAGCAGTGAAATTTACAAGTGTGAATTTTAACAATCAAAGCGAGAAATGAACAAAGGAGTGAGAGTGTTAGTGTTGTGCGTAGGTTTCGTGGTAGCAAGTCTTCAGTGTACAATCATCTGCTAACTAGTCCTGATTGTTGCAATTCGTATTCCGACTCTTCGTTCACTGTATTGTGCCGTGGTCGTCATGGTTATGGACTACAGTTAAAAGTGTTGGAAGCGATCTATCAGCGTCTGTATAAGCCTAATTTGTGTGAAAGACAGTATAATTGGGTTGAAATTGTTCAAGTAACGTGTCGTGTTTAGTGCGGCCAAGCTTGGCCGTTAATGTTCCAGGTGTAAAGTACTGCTGTTATGTGTTATCACGTTGTCCTTCCTTCCTTTCTCCTTTGTTCATTTCTCGCTTTGATTGTTAAAATTCACACTTGTAAATGTCACTGCTGTTGCTCTTAGTGTTATTTCTCTAACTTAGATTTTCTATAATAGTTCAATTTTTGTTTCAGTGTCCTTTAGTACAACGACGATTCCTGATGAGTGTTGTACGAAAACTTGTTTGAATCCATATTTTTTCTCTACACCATTTCTTAATAATAATAATAAACGGCATTATGCAGCAGTGTAAGCAGTAGATGCACAGTGTGACTCACATTGAGGGCTGTGGACCAGGCAGGGCACAGAATGCTTTCCTGGATGTCCGGGTTTTTCATCCCGATGCTCCGTCCTATGCCACCAAACCTCTCGACAAACTGTTTGCGGAGCATGAGAGGAAGAAGAAGCTGCAGTATGCTGAGCGCATCATCAATGTGGACCGTGGGACATTTACTCCACTAGTTTTCACCACGGCCGGTTGTTGTGCGCCAGAGGGCTCCAGATTTGTCAAGCGCCTGTGTGGCCTCATTTCGAGTGGGGACACGAAGTTGTATGCCGAGACAATGACATATGTCCAGTGTCGACTGGCGTTTGCATTGTTGCGGTCGGCGATCATGTGCATCCGCGGTGCTCGATCGTCATATCACCGTCCTGTGAATGCATTGCGAGAGTTGGCAATCTCGGAGGGCCGGCTGTGAGGTTTTGGAGACGACGGTGGGCAGGACAGTGCCCTTGTATTTTCCTGGTTTTTTTGGTGTTTTTTGTTTTTTTCTCGTTTTTTGCGTTTTTTCACACATACAATTGTTTTCATTTTTTGGTGTTGTGTTCTAATCATTCGCCATGCCACTGTCAATTGTATTCTGTTTGCCCGTACAAGAGGCCTTATTAGTGACTCACATTGAACGTAAGAATTATCATGAACGCCGAGATCGGTAAAACTGGGTACGGCCATCACCAGCGGCTGCGGCCCTGTTGCGAGTGCCATGTTGTGCTTAGTGCCGATGTAGTGCAAGATATGCAAGCTGCATCATGGTTGCCGTTTGTTGTTGTTGTTGTTGTTGTTGTTCAATCGATCTTATGCCATTTGTACAGATCCACGAAATCCCTTAGAATCCCGTAGACCCGGTAGGGTACCTAGGGCGTTCATTGTGTGCTATGCATTTTTCTTTCCTTTTTACTGAATACCACAGTACCATCAGATGCTGCACAGCGGGGGCGGTGGCATATTGGATGGAAGTGGGGGCGGGGCAAAAGTAACCCCTCCGACCAAAGGTCTCGGAATCATCGTTACTCCTGTGCGCCGATACCTAGGAGAAAAGAAACATTTGCATCCAAGAGGGAAGCACTGGATTTGCAAACGATAATGGGGAGGATTCGAGATTGAGATAGGACAAAACAATAGTAAAAGCAGTGCACCGTAGGAAGATGGAGAGAACTGATAATCGCGTATTAAGGCTGAGCGAAGGGGATCAAAGAGGGGTAGAAGGGAGCTGGAGTGCGGTCAGTATAATTAATTAGGCTGGTGTGTTGGCTGCGATGGAGAGATCATAACCTTTATTTAATTTGTTTATGAAAGTGCACATATGCCTACGTAGATCATAGAATGGAATATAAAACAACAACAACATCAAGAGAACATAGACTACAAAGGGCGTGTAGGTGCGTGCTATTGAGCTGTGCCGGTGAGGTGAAGTGCGCTCCCCCGACCAATGGTCTCGGGATCAAGGCGCACATAACCCACCATGGGGGAAAGGGAGAGAAGAAAGACTGTGTGTGAAGAGTGAGAACCTGAGAGCCAGATAATGATGGAGAAAGAGAGAGAGAGAGAGAGAGAGAGAGAGAGAGAGAGAGAGAGAGAGAGAGAGAGAGAGAGAGAGAGAGAGAGAGAGAGAGAGAGAGAGAGAGAGAGAGAGAGAGAGAGAGAGAGAGAGAGAGAGAGAGGAAGAGATTGGGGGGGGGGGGGTGATGAGTGAGTGCCAGATTAGTTCAGGAAACTATGGCAATGGACCAACAGCTGCGTTGCTTTCAGTGGGGGGGGGGGGCAATACGGAGAAGTTAGATCGGAGCTGCTGCCAGGCAGAGTAGCGTGCAGGCACTGGATCAGCGAGAAAGGGGCCACGAAAAGCAGCAAAAAGGAGGGAAGAGAAGAAATAAACATTCACGCAAAACATTCTGCACTTAGGTGATTCGAGAGCTCTAGGGAGCAAGGTACAGTTCAGTGGGGTGAAGACAAGGTGATTGTTGTGGGACTGGAGAATGGAACATCGTCAAATTTAGCCCTGGAATGCTGTCGCCCACAACCAATCCTGGCTCATCAGGTGCTGACAAATGCGAGACTTGAAGGCCTGCATTCCCGGCGGATGCGGAAAACTCGGCTTCCAGCCGAGTCTCACGCGAACCGTGAATTTTTTTTTTTTTTTATTCCCTTCGATGTCGGGGGTTCCAGGATGACTTGCTCAGGAATGTCGTTCCATGCCGCAATGAGGGTGTAGGGGAATGACCTCAATAGCCTAGGTAGTTCGGTGCTGTCCGAGCAAGTGGCCATTGCAACTGGAAAGGGTGGCGAGAAGCTAGTTATCGGCGGGTTCTAGGAGTATGTGCAGGCGCCGACGGTGGCGGGAGGAGGGCTG